ATGATCAGTTATTAGTTAGATAATTTCGGCTAATAACGAAAACACTCATGTTGCAATTGTAACTTGTTATTGCCAATTCAGGTAATATTAACTAATTATATTAACCTCACGCCAGTAATTCTTATTTTAAATGAAGAAATGAAGCTTCAAACTTTTATATATTAGTACGATTTATAGTCGTTTGGTCTCATACTGCTGTTCCAGCTTAAAAAGAGCTGCACATCGTGGCGATGTTTGTTTTATACGGCGGTGTAAATTTAACATTCTACAGTAAGATGGTTCGCCCAAGCCCAGTATGAGGAGAGTAAAGTCATAATATAAAGCATGGACTAGTAGATCGTGGTTGAGTGCGTACGTGAGGAAATTGGGGAGCTAATGCATACATGATCAAAAGTGGACTGTATGGTTTCTTTGGAAAGAGGGACAGTCAACAGCACAAATTTGCAAGTGACTAGTGACTGTATGTGATGAGCAAACTTCTTCAAGAAGTTATGTATTTATGGGATAAGGAACTTCAACATGGAAACTGAAAGTCTAGTGAAAGGAATTAGTAGTGGTATATCAGTAAAATGAGGAGTACAGTAAACCGGAGTACAACAGGTGGCCAACTTAACAGTGACAAATTGAAGCAGTACCTTTGACAAGGTGTAACGGGAAATGGGTATTGAAAGAGGAATACGAAAGATGATAGTGCATGAATATTTGAAAATGCGCTAAGTTTATATTTAGTGAGTGCCTCCCCCCGAAACTCATTATAAGAAACAACAAATGCTGAAAATGAACCAGGAAATTGTTCATCGTTGTATGCACTTCTCGATAAGATGAAGGACAACCTGAGTGCCAAAGAGCCACCAGCAACGAAGAACTACAACAGGCTGTCCGTGAGTGGGTCCGCAGTACTCCTGAAGAAAGGTTTACTGCAACCATCCGAAAATTTCCAAGAGAATGGAAACCCTGCGCTCATTTTCATGCATGTATTCCAGCAATGAAGGTATATTATGCCACTTTACTCGTCTTATTCGAAAGTATTTCTGAAAATATCCAATATCATTCACTATTTTCCTTGTATTGTATAGAGTAGCACACTACATTTACTTTAAATGCGTAGCAGGTTTTCTGTTGCTCCTGTGATGCGAAGAGAAGGAAAATTGCATGATGAAGCAAGTTTTGTTTCTATAACAAAAATAAATGTTTGAAGTTTTAAGAAACATTTGCAAGCAGTATTTTCTGTGACGCAAAGACAATGATCAGAACATTTTCTTATAATGCTGCTCGTACGAAAAATCGCATTTGAGTAAACAAGAACTGCTTACTGAAAATAAAAAATGTGATGAATTTTCTACAGCTCAGAACGCTATCGATTATTTTTCGTAAGAATTTGGTCTTTTTTTTTACAAACCTTTGTGAACACTGATAAGTATTTTAAATACAACAGGTTACAGATTACGATTAAAAACCTCAGGTTTGCCATTTCGAAAGAAAAAACAATTTAAATGAGAGCCAATGCTTCAAATCAGAATTCTTAAGAGAGCATTGATATGAGAGATGAAGGTTGAGTGGAAGGAAAGTTTCCAGATTTCCTTATATGCTTATTTCTAGAAGAACCAAAGAAAAAAAATAAAAATGAAAAGACATTTCCTAGCTATATTAAAATAAATTTTTGGATTGATTGAATTACCACAGCTTATTTAGCATAACTTTTCTCTTTTATAAATCTTCAGTCAGTTTGTTTGCCGCAGAGAACTCTCTCTGTGAAACTACCTCGTATTTTCATTACGTTTGGGAAAGCTTTACACAGCAGAGAACTAAGTTCCGAACAAATGCATCGGTGTTCGATTTCCTTATTTTAGGCATTCATAAATATTTTGAGAATAACATTTGATAAGAAATTTTTCTATAAGATTTAATCCTAGTTTTCTATGGAACCTTATATGCATATAACGAATTTTAATTCTTAAAAAATAAGCCTAGCGTGTATGATTGCCATGCATTTGCTGACCCATACAAAATATTTTACGCTCGTAATTATTATTTACACGTACATCATTTAAGTTAAGATGTTCTGTCAGTGCATAATAAGTAATTATTTGTTCAGTTTTTGAATAATTAAAATATTCTCCGAAAGTTTCGTTTTTTAATTTTTTTCTTTTCTTTTATACTATTCTGAATTGTAAGTCTAAACAGTGATGTAGAAAAGAGTCACATATCGCAAATCATAATTTTACAGGTGAATGGAATGCATAAAGCTATCTCTCTACAAGAAATGTAACAACCTAACTGGAATTGTTCTAACTTATGCCTAAATGAAAATGAAGTTACCTGCATACATATTTTTAAGTATTGGAGAAAAATAACGAAGTACTGAACCTTTTCTAGTGGTTTTAAATGAAAATAACATAAACGATGCTATGGCATATGCAGTTAAGACATGTAACACATCATTATTCAGTGAAGATGGAAGTTAGGGGGATTAGGATTTCAGCACTAATCAACATATTTTATCTACGAAGTAAAATGTGATTATGTAAGACCGAAATGAGATTTTTCATTCTGTCCTAGTCTACTGTGACTATTCTACCAGGATTAAAAACAGGATCTTTTAAGAGGCATTCATATGCATGAATATACAGTGTATGTTTACACATTTTAAAGCGATTTCGGGCCGTACAGTTTATGTTTAAAATGCTAAGAGTATTTTTAAATGTTCGTTCTGATAACCTTTTTTCTCTACCACAAGTCTGCATCTTGATTTACATTTCGTAAAATTTCAAAGGATACTGATAACCATTTCTCATCCACAACTTTCCAAAGTCCATCAGTTGTGGTTCAAAATTTTCAAGAGGCGAAAGTTACAATAGCCCATAGACGAAATTTCAGGAATCTTCTCAGGAATGCGTTGAAAAGATATAAATGCAATATCTGTATCAGTCTTCATTTTTTTCAAAAAAGGCAGAGGTATGTTTCGAAGTATGACCTGTTGCTTTGTGTTAATGAAGTTTCACTCTTTGAAAGTCATTGGGAAAACGAAATGGAATTTCTTCTGTAAATATCGGACATAAAACTTTGCCTCGACAGTGCGTTGAATTTACTTTGCCATTTCTTTCCATTCTTCTTATTTTTAATTTCGCATTGTGATAAAATCCTGCAACAATCCTAAACTCTTTACTGAAACTTTCTTTACACTGATGGAATCAGATTTGTACATTTTTTCTCTTCGTTTTCAATACTTTATTTCCAATGGCGAGAACTGGAATTTATAGGCTTTGGCCACTACTAGGACCGCACGCGGTAGTCAATTTAGTATGGAGGCACCTAATAGGTGGATCCCCGTTTCGTCCTATGAAGGGACAGACAATTAACATCCATGCCTTATCCCGGATTCGGACGCGAGCCCTTCGGTACGCCAGTCAGTGTGACTAACCACTTTCCCATCTGGGCGATTCGTTTTCGCCAATAAATGGACCATTTCTGTCTCTGTCATTTAATAATGCCCATGCTTCATCAGACCTCACAATAGATATTTATTTATTTCTTTTAAATAGTTTTCATACAGGGTTCTAAAATTTCTCTGCGTTCAGCCGCATGTCTTAGCAAAAGCTGGTGATCATTGTGTTTTTATTTTTTTGAGTTGCAAATCTTGGTTTATTATTTTACTCATTATTTCTAGTATACACGTATTTAAATAATTTACAATTGATTCCTGTGTCGACGGATTTTCTTTTCTTACCAATGACTTTACTTTAGAAACAATATGAAAAGTATGTACCTTTTTCGGGTATTCGTTTGGAGTCTTTGTTCCATGTAGAAGTAATGATTGACGGTCTTTCCCCTTTCGATAAATAATGTTGCTTATTTTACTCTTCGAAATTTTAATACCCTGCATTTCACAAGGTTTTTGCTTCATGGAATAGAAATATTTCTCTTCGAAAAGCAAAAATTCGTATCCTTCAATCCACAGCTTGTTTTCATGCGACATTTTGAAAGAATAATAAGTTTAAAAACAGCTGACGATATTTCTCATTTCAAAGGAAATATTGCCAGAAATTGTTTCCCAAAATATTTCCTTTTTTTATTCCTTATAAATCGTTCTAAAATGTGTAAAAGCCCTCCGTACATGAATATTATGCTTTCATAGACATGTTTGAGGGATATTCATGTATTCATATAATATACATGAATGTATATGCATTTCATGACATGACATGCATGAATCATCAACAGAAGACTTGTTAGCTGATTTCATAGGAAGAAAACATGTTTATATGGTAAACGATTTTAATATAAGTGATTATATATTTGTCGGCGTCACTGCGTAAAAGGCTTCAAAATCTATAAACATGTGGCTGACGCGTCCTTTCTAATGATGCCTTTAATTAAACCGAAACAGTCATTTAAATAGTTGAGCATATACATTATACAAACTTAGAGGCTTATATTAAAAACTTTAAGTATGGGCCTGCCAATTCTAAATTTTCGGATATGCTATGTTGGCACAAAAGAAGCAATGAAAATAACACAAATGCGCGGTTTTTACTAAAACAAATTTTTAAGCGTATAACTAGCAGCTGATAAGCAACTAAAAGCTAGTACTTAAAGCTAGTTGTTATTAGTAACAGCTGATTTTCAAAGCAATATTTCTCTTTGTAAAATAAATAATCTTAAATAAAAGTTTCATTAGTATCATTTAAATAATTTCATTTAAATAATCATTTAAATAATTTCATTTAAATAATATTTCATTTAAATAATCTTAAATAAAAGTTTCATTAGTATCTACATAAACAGATTGCTATAAAATGCTCCCTTTCCATATTCAGTTTAATTTTTGTTTCATTATTTGGATTACTTGATTACTTGGAAAACCATGCAAAAATTCATGCATTCTGTAAAACGTTCTATCTGAGGTTAAAGATAATATCTATGTTAAAATTTTAAAAATAATACTGATTTCTGAAACGACATTGTGTAGCTATTCTCGTTTTATATGCAAATATACTTACATATAACTTCGGTTTTGTCTGCAAGCTGCATTTGGCTCAAGTCTTATATCTGCGATCTCCGGCTCGTACAAAGAATGACAACAGCTGACGCTGGCCGATGCGTGTCTTAGCTCCTTGTGAAGGACTAGCAGTAGTGTCGGATTGACGAACGTGTGTGCAAAAGCAACGTGCAAGGACATTTCATACGAAGAAGATGGACCATTGACACCAGGTTGAATCAGAATAACAATGAATAGTGGTCCCCAGAATAAAAGGTAAGCCACCAACAGAACCACAAACATCTTTACTCTGCGGATCCCTTCTTTCTCTAGTCTGTTTATATAGCTTTGGATATGTTGAGATTCACACAGATCCCTCTCCGATCTGACAGATATCATGGTAGTAACCAAACCTGCTATTCTTAAAGCTTCCAAATTTGATTTTGTTAAATCTCGATATAATTTTCTCAGATGAACTCCGGTTAAGAGGATACACATAACATTAACTGTGACCCAAAGTACATTTAAAACATAGTGTCTGACAGGAGCGTAAACCATCGGGCAAGCATCTATAAGACCTACTCCTTCTCTTGCTGACGATAAAGCTCCACTTAAAAATGTGGGTCCTAAATTGATGGTGAAACTCGCAAACCATATGATAAAGAGGCCAAATATTATACACTGCGGGCTATCGAGTACTATGTGATTGTTCTCAGAGTTGACAGCATAGCCTTCGTCGGATCCTCCGCTTGATGTATCAGTTTGTTCTGGTAGAAGAGGAGCATCATTTATTACGGATGTAAGTATGTTGACTGTCGACACTGTTACTAACAGCAAAAAAGCAGTTTCTACTATAGAACATTTTGGCATACGTTGACACGTTAAAACGCTGATACCCAACGGTATTAGAAGACTCGCTCGAATACAGTCTACTAAGCCTTGATGGAACAACAGGCCTTGGGACCACCTGTGAAAATGAAAGAAAGATTTTATTATTATGAATTTTGAACTTATAAATAACTTTCATTTAATTAACTTTATGAAGTCACTCTATAGGATGAACGTGCTCAGGTTTGCAGAAGAGAAGATACTTTGAACGTAAAAAAATTATTAATCTTATCCCTAAAACATTTAAGGCGGAATTAGAACATACAGACACATTTAAACATTAAAAGCATTCATTAAAACATAAGACACATTTAAATATTAACAAACATTTATTTAATACGCTAATGGATTAATGCGCGTAATTACATTAGTTCCAGGAGCTATATAATTCCTTATGATATATCCGATCCACTGCCGTTATAATATTTTTCAAGCAATTTTTCAGCTTGAAAACGTACTTTTTCAGTTTCCGATAGCGACAGCAATCCTACGCTTTCGAAACGCTTGGCAGTTTGCTATTCTGAAGGATACTGGTAAAAATTAAATTAGGTAAATAGTAATAAATAATTTATATTACATAGTTTTGATTAACTATATTATTTCATAAAAAATTATTTTAAAACTTAGTTCTTATATCTAAGTATACCTGAAAGACAGGTTGCAAAGTTCCTTTGCGAAACTAGTAGAATTTTTAATCAAAAAGCATAAAAATGATGAGGACAAATTCTATATTAAAAAAATAAGCAACCGAGCTGAGTGAACTTATAAAAAGTCAAATTTTCTAATAAAAATTGTATAAAAACGGATAAATGATTAAAGCTAAATATATATGTATAAATACAGTAAGGATCGAAGGAAGATAAATCAGAAATTTTCAATGAAAAATGTATAAAAATGGAAGAATGAAAACTGTTAAATACATAAAAGGACTAATGAAAGCATTAGAAAAAACGTGGGAAAAGGACGTCCCAAAATGGGACGCCCCGTTTTAAAAACAATTAGGTTTTTTAATAAATTTTAACTAGATATTTTAAAAACGTTTCCTTGAAAACAATATTTAAACTTCTTCAGACAAATCCGTTTTCAATATAATATCATAAGCTTTCATTTTATCAATATGACTAATTATGAAAGTTTCTGAAAGCGATTAATATTTAAAAGCTTCATTCCAGTATCAAAGATCTTTTATGTGTTCTATAGTACTTTGTGATAATTTTTTTGATCTAGGAACAAATGTCATACATAATTTTCTTAAGGTTCTATGAAAATAAATTATCACTTAAAGTTTGACATTCTGAAATTTTTTCTAATCCAGTTTAGAAGAATTCCCAGTTATAAACTTTTCAGGTAACGTCTGATATTAACATAAGAAATCCCAATGAATTAAGTGCTCGTTATCGATGATAAGTCTTTTTGATAGTCTTTAATATGCCCATTTATTAGCCCAATCTATATTGTTTTTATATTTTCAGATAAAAGGTTCTGATAATAGCTGATATTTTGAAATAGTTATCCAATCCACAACATTTTCAAAATTTCTAATCAAACTTTCAGATAATTTATCCGTTCTCGAAACTTTCATCCATTGGCTACCCATTAATAAGATGTCATTTCTAAGAAAGGGCTTTTCCTATTCGTAATGAGAATATTCATTATAATTTTTCTTCTGTAATTAAAAATATAATTTCCACTATTTACTTTTTCTATGATTTCATCAGAGAGATTACCGTGACATTTTTAAAGACAATAACTTCTTTTTTTCATAATTTACTGCTAAATTAGCTATTTTTAAATCTCCACATTTTAATTGGATGTCTGCTTATATTTTCTTGGATTTAAATTTTTCAGTTTAAGAGTTTTAGTATAGATTCCAAGCTACTAAATTCTTCCATTATGAATTAAAATGTTTTTATTAAATAGAATTGTTATAAGGACATAATGCTTTCGTGAGAATTCCGTCTTCTAAAATAAAGCGTTTATCATCTGTAGGTGATAATTATCTTTTATTCACTATAACCGAATATAAGTCAGATATTATACTTTCATTTAAATCCATGTTTCTATAAAGCTAATTTTTAATCAAAGAATCTGTATAATATTCAAGTGAAGTTCTGAATTTAACAACACATTATTTTACAACTTTTGACTTCTTAGTTATAAATTGTTTTGTTTTACAGGCATGTAGTTTCGCTCCCCTTTTTAACTCAACGAATTTTTCCACAACTATTTCATTAGTTTCATCTTTATTTTTCCTACACCTTCTTATTTATTTGCAGATATTATTTATTTATTATTTTTGTAAAATCTGACGTATCAAAATAATCAGTCATACTCTTCATATTTCTCTCTCCGGTCTTACATAATTTTCACCCCAGACTGACAAGGAACCTTTAGTACCTTCCAATTTCTCGAAATTATTGGAAGGCTGATACGCTTATACCTTTAGAGTTACATAAGCATTTATACCATTTACAGTCAAATAGGGAAAGGGCAACAAAAATGTCAAAACGTAGCCAAGTTTGGTGACCTTTTCGATTCATTTGAAACTGTGGTGACAAAAATTAGTAGCCGAAATCATCACCACTTAGCGATATCTATTTAGGGAGATAGACATTTACATCAATGCTAAATAGACTTGACCCTGTAATCTTATTTATTCGGCAAGTCTTCGCTTTCTTGAATCCGTTCATGTTGCATTATACACAAATTTGCAATACTTCCCCCATCCCCAAGGACTGCACTTCTCGGGCAGTACAATCCTTCGACAGAAAGCCATACTTATAAAATAAGGAAAATCAATGCAAAACTAAAGTAATACTTGCAATAAATAACAAATAACAAATCAAATACTAAATCAATAAATAAATGCATGAATTTAAAAATTTATATACACATAGGTTCATGGTCATAGTATATTATTTACATGATGTACACTGAGGGGACTACGTAATATGGCCATAGCAAAAGGCTCGCCTGTCGTAATTAACGACTTCGGGCTTAGAATTTGATGACTTACGGATCCGAACTACGACGTCGCAATACGTGTTTAGGATTGTGTAAGGACCGTTCGAAGGTGACTATACTTTAGGAGAAATTCTTTCCGTCGAATCGGAGCGCATACGCCATGTTAACCCCCTCTCAAGCAAATTTGTGCATCACACAAAACCGTTCCTGGAGATATTCAATGAACTCCTCAGGCGATGAAGATGCATCTAGAGGGCGATGTAGCTGAAGAGGTACTCTCCTTATAAAAATCCTAATCTTGTAAAGACATTAGGTATCTTTTTGAAGCAGAAGAGATGAAAAATTAGCAACGCCTTCGTCGGAAATCGAACCACGGACCTCTGAAGTACCGGCTCAGTGTGCTGACCACTACACCATGAAGGCACGCTAGGAAGGCAGGAGAAATATCTTACATACTCTCCCTTTTAAAGGGCGACTGCGGTATTTAGGGGAACCAATCACCAAATCCTGGGTGTGGAGAGTCATCATCCACAACCCTTTTAATTCGGACGCCACTGTAGAGACGTTAGGATTTTTTGGAAGCAGGTAAAATGAAAAATTAGCAAACACCTTCGTCGGGAATCGAACCGCGGACCTCTGGAATACGGCCGAGCGTGCAGAACCACTTCAACACGAAGGCACGCTAGGAAGGCGGGAGAAATATCTTACAATCTGTATTATTTCTACTGCTATACCGACAGGCTCTTTATCAGGAATAGGATACAATTAGCCCACTTTGTGAAGTAATCAATGATAGCGAGGATGTATTTGTTGACATCCGTTCGTGACAGAGACCCAGAATGTCAAAGGCGGTGTCTTCAAAATGGGCTCCCACAATGTAACGTTGAAGTTTCCCTTGGCTGCGCTTCGTCCGTTCTTTGTAACCCGCTTAGACATCGCACGATTGGCACCAGTTTTGCACATCAGCTCTTGCATTGATTCAGTACAAGCGCTCTCAAACGCAGCACAAAGTCTTCATTATTTCGAAGTAGCCTTCTGTCAGACTGCTATGCAGTTCTTTAAGGACGTCCATGATCTGGGATCTTCGAAGTACTAGTTACCATCAGAATGCCTTTCTTGCATAAGATTCGAACTTCCGGTACAAGACGTCATTTCGAATATAAAATGAGTCCCAGAAAGTCCAATATTTTATCGTAGGAATTGTTTTACTGTAGGAATATAGACCGAAATGTCCTCTCGGTAGCTTTCCTATTTGAAGACTCTGTTCAGTCAATTATATGTTTAGTGTCGGCGTCTTCCAACTGGGCTTTCTAGACTACGTCAATCTATGGGCCTGGGTCAGGCGATGTTGAATTTGCAACTTGACGTAAGAGCGGATTATGCAGTTTCTATTCGTTTCGTCCCTGGAACACTATCAGCAACTTCCTGGGCAGGGTTTAGACACAGCGTCAGCATTTTCGCGTAATGCTCTTTTCCAATGACGAATACCTATGTCCTATGTCATATTCCTGCAGTCTCTGTATCAATCTGTCTATTTCATCTTCGGGTTTCTTGAAATTTAAGAGCGAGGTTAAAGCTACATGATCTGAACGCAAAGTTTCTGTCCTAGAGGTAATGATGGAAATGTTCTACAACTTTAACTATGGCGAGCAACATTTTCCTGACGACACAGTAATTCCTGTCCGATTTAGATAAATACCAGCTCCAGTATGCTACGACACGTCTTTGACCGTTTATTTCTTGGGGCAAAACAGCACCGACACTCGCATTGCTCGCATCCGTGTGAAGAATAAGTAGGTTGTAGATTGAGGATACGTTAGGATTGTCGCAAATATTAAAGCCCCTTTTCGTTTGTTAAATGCATCCTCACATTCATTTATCCGCAAGAACTTTGGCATTCTATGTGTCAGTTTGTAAAAGGGTCTCGAGGTGGAAAAAGGCCCTATACAAATCTGTTAAAGTAGGTTCAGGAAATTTCTCAGCTAATGAATATTTTTGAAGTGACTCCAATCTTTAACTTTCAGCAATTTTTTCGGGATTCGTACACATACACTTTCGACGAGATAAAATGTCGGAGATTATACATTGAATGCCTGAACCATTTACATTTAGTAGGACTTAACTTAAATGAACTTAAAAAATTATGAAAACTTCTATACTTAAAATCAGTACGCAATCTCACGAGGACTAATGAAAAAAAATCGAATTTTTAATAAAAAGCATAAAAATGATGAGGACAAATTCTATATTAAAAAAATAAGCAACCGAGCGAAGTGAACTTATAAAAAATCAAATTTTCTAATATATATAAACGGATAAATGATAAAAGCTAAATATATATGTATAAATACAACTTTTTATAAGATTCGCTTCTTTCAATTTCAGGAGCATCTTCCTAATATTTTCTAAATATTCTTCAAAACTATTCCCGACGATGATAATACCATTCAGATATATCAGACAGGCTACGTAGGAAAGACATCTCAGCACAGTCTACAAGAGGTGTTCCAAATGAGCCAGCATATTACATAATCCAAACGGCATCACCTTGAACTGCCAAAGTCCTTGTCCGGTACCAAATGCCTCTTTTTATTGGTCATCAGGATGTCTGCCAATAGTCATTCCTTAAATCAAGGTCGAAGATAAGTTGCTTTCAGAAAGTATCCTGAATCTCGTCAGTTCTAGGCAGAAGGTAGCTGTCTTTCTTCGTGACCTCGGCCAACCTGTGATAGTCAACGCAAAATCTAGTTGAAGCGTATTTCTTTCTCACCAGGACAATGGGAAAGGCCCCAAAACTTGCTGAAGGCCCGATAAGGTGGCTTTCTTGCATGTCCTTTAGAAGTTTTTCTACCTCTTCCTGTTTAGCAATCGGTAGATGTTCTTGTGTGTTGCTTGATTGGTAGATGATCCCCACAATCCACTCTCTGCTGTTTCAAAATAGTTCCACGTACCTCAGAAGATGAGCGATAGAAAACATTTTGAAATTCTTGAATGAAATAATGAAATTCTGTAGCACTCGTCTCTTCATCGCTTAGTTGTCCATTCTTGCAATAACTTTAATGTTAGACTCTCAGAGGACACAGAGACTGGAGGACTACTGATTCATTTAATGCAGCTCACCGGAATATATGCTATAAACACTTCGACTTTAGCGATAACTTTCACTTTATCACATACATTGGCAACTTTCACAGGGATGACGATCCTCGATAGGTCGACGAATAACGAGGCTACTAGTACAGCTTTCAGGCTGTTATAGCTTTTAGGATATTTCATGATCATGTAGCGGAATTTTCGGTTTGCAGCTATGGCTCCAGGTAGTAAAATTTTTGTTTTTGCCGGTCCTGTGCTATCGTCTTTAGTTATTATTTGATGAACGGATTTAATTCCTTTACCTTTAATTCCGAACAGGGTTAAGACCATAGAGGCAAAATGCAGTTCGTTATTCCTAAGTCCAAGAAAAAAATTGTATTTTCGTAGAAAGTCTAATCCGAGTATGCAAGGATCTGTAATATTTGCTACATACATTGGTGTGCAAAATTAAGGACGAAGTTGAACAAAATTAGCTTCTCGGTGGAACGAAGAGGCAGAGCGGATTGAAAGACTTAAGCAGGAGATCGATTAGAATCAGGCACATTAGCACATGCGCATATATGCAGTTAGACATAATGGAGAAGTGTCGGAGGGGTGTAACGATCGCTGGAGGTGTGAGCTCAGCAGTTTAGGGAAGATATTGCACGGCATATATCAGTTTAAACGACGTCGAGTTGCTGCATCAGTGTGAAATGTCTAAGAATAAATTGTTAGACGACAACTGGATGCTTTTACCCGAGGTCAAATTATCGGAGAAACTGAGGAAGGTTGAAATGTGGCAGGTGTGGCTGTGGAGTTCGAGATTGCTCACAGCATTGTTTCACGACTTTGGAGAGCATTTCAAACTACAGAAACAGCTGTCTGACGGTTCAGTAGTGCTCGTCCACGAACAACCACAACAGCGGATTACCGGTATCACCCTGTAGGCAAGAAGAAACAGTCAGCAAACAGCAGGAGAAATCTCAAGGCACATGGAACAGGCGATTGGATGACCGATATTGCGTTTTACCATGGCCAGGAGGCTACGTTATGGTGGTCTTTATACCATTAACGCCTGTTCATCGGAGAAAGCATTTTCTGTGGTGCAGAGAGCACAAGAAGTGGATAAATAATTAATGTTGTCGAGTACTCTTTACGGATGAGAGCTAATTTAGTCTGAGTGTGATTCTAGGTGCATACAGATTTGGAGAAAGCGCGCAACACGCAATAAGCCCTTAACCATCATCAAAAGGGACCGGTTTGGAGGTCGCGGAGTTCTCGTTTGGGAAGACATAATACTTGGTAGCCGTACCGACCTTCACCTCGTCCAAGGAGGTTCAATCACCGTTGACTGCTATTTTAACGAGGTTCTCCGTCCTTACATGCGTCTTTTTAGAGGTGCTATGAGACTTCCGTCCCTCTTCATGGAGACAACGCTCTATCTCATCTCACAGTTGTTGTCAGAGATCTGTTGGAAAGTGAAGATATTGAATACATGTATTGTCCGACAAGGTCACTGGATCTAAATCCCATCGAGCCTGAATGAAACTTTCTAGGAAGACGCGTAGCAGCACGTAACTTATTGCCAGTAACGATTCCCGAGCTGAAATTGGTGCTACAAGAGGAATGGGCAGCAATGCCTCAACAATTCATTGAGAACCTCATATTCAGCATGTACAAATGATGTGAGATCTGCAGAGCAGTCAGGGGTGATCATATCCTTTACTAAAGGCTGGATGTTTCTTGCTGGACACCTATCACATGGATGTTTCCGCCTTTTGTTGCACTGTGCTCCATGCTGTTTTTTCAATAAAGTTCCTTTTTTATCATTTTGATTTCATATTTGGAAAGTTTTGCTTAGATTACTTGACACCTTGGGGATCTTATGGTATTTTGTTGATTTGGAAGCACGAAGAAGTGTGAAAGCAATGCGAAGGTTACGATATTTGGATGCTAGATTATGGTTTCGCTTTCTTTCGACTGGTGAGTTGAAGTTACTGGTTCTCAAATCTTTCGTTACTCTTGGTATAAAAGCCTTCAGTTTCACTTTTGCTGTTATGTAACTGCGTCATTAGCGTTCTATAAAAATCGTATTGACATTCTGGAAAAAGATTTATTCTAAGTATACTGTTATTTTTAGAACAGAAAGGGGAAATACACAAATTGAATAGGAGATCTGATAGAAGAATAGGAGATCGTTTTCTGTGAGAAGCTAAAAATGGATACAACGCCTAAAATGTGAGCAAAGATTATTGCACTTAACAATAACACATCCATTTACTGTAACAAATATTTACAAATGATAAGTGATTGTAGCAAATTAAATAATACCACAAAAACTGATCAGCTACTCTAAAGATATAAAAGCCGAATTTTGCAATTTAGAATGAAAATATTTTGCGCGATACATTTGAAAGTCTGTTATCTATAATTTTTAGTCGTTATGATGACCTTTTTCATTTGTAAATTGCTTATTTACTAAATTCATCTAAGCATTTATCAAAAATAAAATTTTTAGATCTATTAATAAATTGAAGTTCTATGATTTTGTCACCTGATTGCAGTTATTAGGTATTAAGTGCTAACCATTTCATCACAAGATTACAAGAATACGGATTATGAACATCTCACCTCCTCAGCGGCTTTTTCATTATAATCAATAACATCAAGAAGAAGTTGGCTCCCATCCCTAGAACAGCGAGTGAGAAAAGGACAACAGCTTCCGTCATCTGAGCTGGATGACAGGTTGGTGTTGAAGTGTTTCCAACATGGCTCGCATTTGAGACACCTCCAAATCTAACCACATTCAGTGTGCCTGCCATATCGAATTATATGGATGATTCCCCTTTGTTATTAAACAAGGGATCCAACAATGTTTTAATGGCAGTTCATGATATGACAGTGCAGCTGCAGAGATATTAAATTAAAGCATTCACAGCTGCTCGGTGATTCTGCTGGTAGAATCTGAAAACAAAAGGAAACAAAATACTAAATATTTCAAACTTATTCTAGGAGCTACAGTGCTTAACAATTACACAGTTTACTAAAATTAATATAATAAGCAAGTATAAAGATTGACGTAAGTAATGACAATACAACGATTAACGTTTTTATAAAATTTTAAGAATTCAGGTATTTTTGCAAATAATAAACTATTTTGACAAGAAATTTTATAATAGTTGTAAGAGATATAACGTAACCATACTGTAATTGTTGCACAGCACTTGTAAACTTGGGGGGTAGGAGGAAGTACTTACACAGACACATTATGATTATTTAAGGAATTTAGGCCTAATTCCTCTGCGCTGAGAGCAGTTTAATCATTTATATAAAGTAATTTCTCGGATATAGCTGTGGATTTTGAGCCCTGTGAGGAATTAAGCAATGGGAACCTAATAAAATGCTGAAACAGCTTTTCAAAAAAACAAAAAAACTATCTCTTTCAAAAGTATTTGTTTCCTGTAAGTGTGCAACAGCAACGTAAAAGTTGTCGTTCTCCAAGGTCGCACTAAAGGTGTCATGCCGCAATTTTTTAAATCATGAAATCATTTTTAATCCCATCTTTGTATTAATTGTCTGTGATTATTTCACGACAATATTCTCTGTAAGTCATTTAAGAGTCTATAAGCCGTTAGTGTGCGAATTATTTTCGGCGGAAAACGAATTCTACTATTTTCGCATGAACTTTATTAATACTCACTGTTCTCGTACTTTGACTTGGGAATTTCGGTTTTACAGTTCAAAAGAGATGAAAATGTTGCTAGTTTAACTCAAAGACATTTCAAATAATGAATACCAGAAACGTTTTCATGATTTCTACGAAAGCTGGCTGAAGTATGTTGTTGGAGAAAGAAATCGTGCTCTAAAGAAGAGTACGTTTCAGCCTTATAACTATATGAACGTACGACTCTGGTACCCACCATAAAACTTTGCAATAAAACGTTTATGACGAATGTGATGATTCGTAGTGTATAGACTACTGCATTTACTTTACCGTTTCAAAGCAATCAAATTTCCGATGTCTACGTTTCAATGCAGGAAACTTTGTACCAGTAAATAAAAATCTGATTGATTTTTCTTTCTTGGCTATAAGAATACAACTTTTGCTGTATGTATTACGCATGCAAAATATGTACTGATAAAACACTTGCATTACAGATAAGGCTTCTGGTCACGACTATAAGGAAAGATTAATTCTGGTTAAACGAAATTTGTACTTGGAATCACTGCTATGTGGTATGGTGGTACCTTTAACACTCCTGCGTAATATCCTGCTCAATTTGACATATGCGCTGCTTTTTTATGCATGTGTTCTTATGAGTAAGCTGTGTTAAAACAATTTTTGTTTCTATTTAAGTTTCTGCACATTCGTATCACTTCACTGACGTTTAAAATTTTCTTACAGATAGTAAGCTACTACAGTTTGCAATTAACTGTGACAAAGCGACTTTTTTCACAAAATTTTACCCTGGTTTCCAGTTGGCATCAGCAGGTCCCTCAAAACAGTTTCATCTATCTTAATGTCATCTGTACGTCTGCTTTTGTCTACTTAAAATTTGTTTGGACAATAAATTAGACTTATTGTGCCATTTTAAGCTTGTTTCTGTGAGAAGCTGAAAATGGATAAAATGCCTAAAATGTGAGCAAAGATTATTGCACTTAACAATAACACATCCATTGACTGTAACAAATATTGCTTCGTCGGTTAGTGTTGGAAAATCTAGTGTTTCCCGAATTCTGAGAGACACAATGAAACTGGATTAATTTCTCTGGTTAGGAAGAGTAAATGTGGAGGGAAAAGGAAGACGATTCCAAAATTTGATCATTTCCTATTCCGAAATGATATTATTAATTCAATAAAAACTACAAAGACCTTAAAAGAGATCTGTTGTCTATTGGTATTGATATTCATCCTTCAAACGTGCAACGTAGACTTCTCTCTGCTGATCGGAAGGCGAGAAAGCGTATCAAAAAACAATTTTCACGCATCAAATAAAGCAAGGCGATTATAGTTGACCAAATAATACAAATATTGGACTACGAATGATTGAGAAAAGGACATTTTTCAGCAATGAGCCTCATTTATTTGTCGCGGTTACACATCTGACTTTATTAGACGAAGCAAGGGTGAATCTTTAAGACCTCAACATATCCAAAAAAACCATAGAATACTTTCGAAAATAAATGTTTTGGGGTTTTTCATTGCAGATGTCACTGGAAGTTTAGTTCCTATTGACGGAGTGATGAATTTATCGAAGTATATAAAAATTTCAAAACATAAGATTAGGCCATTCTTAAAGACATTTACAGGGACATTTCAACATGACTTGGCTCCATGCCACAATTCAAAATCTGTCAGAAATTTCATGATGAAAAATAAAATTAGTGTGCTAGATTGGCCTGGAAATACACCGGACGTAAATCTAGTCTAGATGCCGTGGCACATTCTCAAAGAACACCTCATCAAAATGGATTGTGCATTAAAACAGTGCATGATTAAACGGTATAACACGCTGATTAAACACTTTGTGGTGTAATTGGAAGCATATTCTACGCGTATTCGAGAAGTCTAGGGTTCGAGCCTCGGGGAAGGCACTGCTCCTTTTTCATGTCTCCTGTTTCAAAATAACCTTATGACTCTACAAATTTATATTTTAAATAAATAATTATATATATATATATTATATATGAACTTTAAAACTTAAAAAGGTTGGAGATAATATATAAAGTGGGTACATTAGGTTATATATTATATATATAGAGATAGATATATATACATATACTATGAAGACTACATACTCTTGTGATACCAAGGTAGATTAAACTTGTAGCATTAATTAATCTGAAAAATTAAATACTTTTAAAGAGCAATAAATACTTTTAAAATTTAATTAAATATTTTTAAGGAGGACAGCAAACATTCTGCCAAATATTTCTATAATGCGAAACAGACATCCAGCTTATACAGATAATCTTCAAATACTGCTGTATGCTATTTGATGGCAACAAAATGTCAATATTAGTGTAGCACAAATTTGCTGCGCAATGAATGAACATGCACGAGAAATCAAAAGTCCTTTCATTCTTCTTTCAGGAAACTGATGGTGGAAGTTGGCGAAAGAAGAACATTAACAGTGAGTAGATCTCCACCATGTATTTATATTTCTCTGTTATCAAGACTATTATCTGTGCTAAAGCCATTGCTGGGAAATGTTTTGCTGTAACTGTTGCCTACTTTAGTCCTCACTTATTTTTCTAACCTATATTTTTCTTCTGCCATTTGCTTCTGATAATCCGCATAGCAGTACTTAGGTGAAGTTTCATAACTCTGCTCTGAGTATAATTCGTTTTTGATATTTCTCACTTGTTAAAATTTAATGATTCTCCTGAATTTTATTTATATAATCCTTTAATAACTTCGTAGCTTTCAATTCACCTCAATGGCATATTTTTACTAATATCTAATTACTGCATTCACATAATTGCTGCTGTCTAGGAATTATTATTGAGCCTGATTTGATCTGAGCATCATACCATGTCTTTGTGAAATCAGCATTTTAAATGCGATACTTATTTAGTGCAGAAACATAGTTTTATAATTTGGGAAACTGATTTCAAGAGTTCAGTAATATTTTCGCTTCCTTAAAGAGAAATGTGATTAAGAGAATGATTCCTCTTTATCTGTTTATTTCTCCAACGTATCTGTCAGCGGTTTTATGTATAGTAGTTCATTTAATTCTTGAACCATTTTCACTTTGGCTAATAGAACGTATCTTTCCTCTTTACTAAGCAACGTTGCAAGAAAAGTCATTATTTTAGAGACATGTAGAACTTTCGTGCTACCTTAGAGCACGTTTTACTGAAGATTTGCTGTAATGGCCATCCAGATGACCATTATTGGGGAGTTTCTGAAAAGTTCGAAAGTTAATGGCGCAATAGTCACGTTCTCTCTACATATCGATAAAGAAAGCAAAGAGAAGAATATAAAGATTATATTACTGCATATTTTACAAACTATGCTGTTGAAGTATTCAAGCGGCTAAAATAACTTTTGCGTTGAACTATCTAATCAAAATTTATCGGTGATGTGTTTATTATTTTCTTAGAATGGGCTAACATAATACGATTATACTAATTTGTTGATACAAATATGTTGTTATTTACGTAGAATGGCCGAAAATAAGAAGATTCTCTCGTCATATTCTTTGTATACTAATTATTATTAGGAAAGTGATTTATGTTAAAATAAAATATGTCCATTTTATTTATTTGCTGTAGAACTTAATGTGTAAGTAAAGTATGTTAATTTCATATACTTATCATGCAATCTTTTCTTTAGTGTGAAAATATTTATACAACAGCAACAATTCCAATAAAGGAATCAATATCTGCCTTAAGTTTGACAAGCGTTGAAGCAGAAATTTTTAAGGTCAGGAAAAGTTTCATTTGCATATAGCTACAATGCAAGTGACAATATTAACCAATAACTATAGTATCCAACTACAGTGTACTATATCCTCTAATACACTATAGTCTAACTAAGAAAAGAGTGCAGCGCGGCGGGATGACGCGGTCGGTGCGGTGGACAGGAGCGACTACCCTCTAGATGTAGTCGCACCTCCCTTGGGGAAGCGCGCCTCCGCTTTGAAAATCAATGTATTAGAGTGTCAAAATCTGTATCACAAATGAAGAAAAAAATTCTAAAAAGGAAGGAGGGAAAAAAACAGGAAACGTTTTTGATAATTTTGTAATGGTGTCATATTATAATAAATTTTATTTTGGCGTTTTTCTCTACTCCGAATTAATAATGACTACATTAATAATGATTTGAGATTGTTTAAACCTCAAATTAATTCCTAAAATATCTTCCATCAGTGGCTGGCCATTAACGAATTCTCTCACAGAATGGCAAAATTTTATTTTGAATGTTTTAGAAAAATTGTGACTAGAATCTCTGTAGTTTT